TTCACCCAAGATGGAGATGGTTTCCTACAAGACCAGGGTCTTTTCAGAAAATCCTAAACCCCTGGGTATGTATGAGAGCTGGCAGGAAGGACCCTCTGCTGACCTTTCTGATGCATCTCAGAAAACCAAACCCATACATTTCAGAATGATACTCTGAGCAGCTTCAGTGGCCAATTCAGTGCACCAGTCGTGTCTGCTACAAAGCCTTGCTTGGCAAATTTTTTCATGACTAACCCGTGATGAGAAAAGAAAACATCAATAAATCCTAAGTGGGTTCTACCAGTAGCAAGAAAAGCAACAGATTTTCTCAGGCCAGGCATAAACTTCTGAAGCTAATAAAGTTACAGCAGGGTTTATTGAATCCCAGGGATCCACACACAGTCAAGTTTTGTTCCTACTGTACATAAGTAGCCAGATTTGGTCCCTATAATGAGCAGAGCTGGCTTGAACCTCACATTCAGCACCTCCAAGTGCATCTCTGGACACATGAACTGGTAGTGAATGCCAAGATCCGTCATTCAGTCAAGTCACTGCAGACTCAGACATCAGAAAAGAAAGCCAAAGATGGCTCTGAAGCAACTGAGTGTTAAAAAATCTTGTGCTTCCTGTCTGCAGTTTAATTATTCATCTTTCTACAGCAGATTCTCAGAAGCAAACTCCAACTGCAAATTCAAACAGTACAAAATAATCAAACACCTCAAAGTGTTCTCACTAAATATTAGCACTGAGAATATTCTCTAGAAAGTGCTGAAAGACCATCAGATCAGAGAGAAAAAAGTCTAGCCCAAAGGTGAATTTGAAGAAGTGCTGATCCCCCAAGTTGTATCTCTTCCAGTTGAAGTTGCAGGTCTCAGCAGCTCTGAAAATTAGCCCCTTATATTTCCCTAGGGATGTTACTAAGCCCACTGACATTTTCTAAAACCAGTAAAACTTTTAAGTATAACTTTTCAGTACTTTCTAGGCTTATGGTCAAGTAAGAAAACCATCCTGAGAAATGAGAGGGGAAAGTAAACCCCAAAGGAGGAGCACATCTGAGTCCCTCCAAGAGTAGCAAACATTCCTGACCAGCCCAACGCTCTCTCCAATCCATCCAAACCCAGCTCACGGATCTTCTCTCTCTCCCCCTTTCCCAGCCCATCTGTTGACAAGCCCTGTGCTGAGACAAGAGAAAAATCATAAAATGACACAGGTCTGCAGTGACATCTTTGTCCCAGGGGGCTGATCGAGCTGGGTGGCAATCAAGGCCTGATATTAACACAAATAGTGTCTACGGCCACAGAAACAGAAGCAAAGACTGAAATAATCAGTCGCCTCCATACTTGTGGATGCAACAGAGCTGCCCAGTGAGGGGCAGGGTGAACTCAGGATTTCAGGGCTCTGGTTCTAAGAGAGGCAAACAGAGGTGAAAAAGGAATACAGTGAATCAAGCTGTTTTGATTAGTTGATTAGACTTCACACTGCAGAACCATGCAGGGCTTTTTGTGATGGGTATTTAAACTAAATGTCTCTCTGAAGGGTAATAATACTGGCATGAAACTTAGCACTCAGTGGAATATATGGTGTAGGTGTAAAACACTAAATCACTTAAAACTAGCTTCCCAAATTGCAATATGCAGTACTGAAGTAGTAACATTTAAAGGGGAATTAATTAGTGCATGAAAGAGGAAAGATTACATTAAATCATTACAGCTAGACCAGAACAAAAGTTGCTGTTATAAGGGTATCTTACACCACAGTGAGTCACCTACTCTGCAAATTCCAGCTTACCTTTCCTGCTGTTTCAAGCAGTTGGTACTCCTAGATCATAAGAAGAAACAACTTTGCCTGGTGGAAAAGTACACATCCTCACAACCACCACAAAAGCTTTGCATATAAGGTTTGGCAGATAAAATATTTAAACAGTGACTTTATCAGTTACAGCAAAAATTCACATAGGTAAAGAATATGGTATTTAAGTTGCACCTGAACCGTCCAAGTAACACAGACATTCCCTGCAAAAACAAATCTCTTTGTAGTGCAGATTTCACTCTGAACTGGTTCTATCCCATCCTGTAACAAAGCCCCTACTTCACTAACTCCTGGGCCTGTTTTCATGCTGCAGAGTTAGGTCTCCAGGAAGCACCATTTTTCATTTGTTTTGCTTCCCTTACCTTCCCTCTGAAACATCCTGGGCCACCAGAACTAATTTGTACTTTAACTCCCCAGACACACAGAGTGAGGTATTTATTTGGCTACATGTGCTGTGTCAGGTTATGCCTGACAGTGTCAGAGAGGAGAGAGCTTTGCATCACTGTAATCAGGTACAAAAAAACATAAATAGGTGTTTATGGGGCAAGAATTAGCATGGAACAATTGTAACTAGTATAGAATAATGTTTCTTGTATCATGACATCACTAAATATTTTGAACTCAAAGACCTATGAAACACAACCAGCCCATGTGAAATTGTGCCAAATCAGACAACTTGGTCCTTGCCTTAATACTCTGAAGCCAGCAAAGAGCAAGGGCTTGGAGAGAGCATTTCTTTCAAAGTAAGAGCCATGCTGACTTACACATGCAGATTTACTTGCAATATATGTTTTGAGCATCCAACACAAAACCTAACAGAAGTTTGGCTTAGCAGAGTAGTTAAGTGACTAACAGGCTCTAACAACAGGTAAAAAGTCAGTGTGAAGTGGGCAGCAACACCCTCGATTTCCCTTTGGAAAACACCAGCTGGCACCTAACCTCCAGCCAGCCCCCAGCAGCGATGAATCACCATCTTCTGGTACTGCTGAGCCATAGCAAAGATTTTGCTTTAAACAGGTTTGATGGGAGCTCTGGAATATGAATGATCATGAGAGCATGAATCAGTTCTCACACACCACCTGATTACTATTTCAGCAAAAAAAAAAGTCTGTTTAGAATTAGAAGTGTGACAGTTCCTGGCAACAGAAGATTGGATGTTCTCAACAGGATTCGGGTTTTGGGGAACAGAGGGTTCTAGTATTCCACAGCAGCACTGATCTATACAGCACTGCCTGGAACTTTCACAAGAGCCCAGGGACTACTTGCAGGCCTAAAGAGTACAGGAAGAAATGTCAGCTTCACCTATAAAAACTAAGGGCACAACACTCAGTTTTATTAAGTGTAAACAAATGAAATACTGTGGAAAACACCACAATATTCAAGTTAAGCTCACACACGCTCTCCATTTCTTTACAAAGGAAAAAGGCACACATCAAAATGGGATCATATGCACTATGTTTTATTAAAAATGCAATTATACTTTTATACCAAACAGTTTTCTCATATGAAATCAAAATGATGGACCAACACACACATTGCCAACATGCAGGATCTGTATCAAACCACACACAATTCTAACGAGGAACAAGGGCATCTGCTGAGATAGGATCTGATGCAGCCCAAATCTCTCGGTTCCTTTGGGAGGGAAAGGTGATGCACCCCTGGCAGCACATGAGCTGGCACCCTGCTACAGCCTGAGCCTTCTGCATGGAACTGCTTTGGTTCAGATGAACTGCCTTGTCCCAGCCCCTCCTTCGTGCCATGCTGCCATCCTCACCTTCTGCCCCAGAGCTCCTCAATTCCCTATTCCTTCCTTGCTTCATTCTCATGATTCAAAACTGCTATCAGACCCCTCTACCCAGTCCTAAACTTTTCATTCCAGCAAGTCCTGAAGGCTCCACACCAGCTTCCCTAATGCATCAGTGCAGGAACAGCTTGGCTTGCTGTAGTCCAAATAGGAGCAAACAAAGCAAAACATCCCAGAAGTGAGCTATGAACAGCTGCAATCACAAAGGAAGGGTGAGGACACCCAAAAGAGGTGCTCCACATTATCTCCCTGGGTGCTGCTTCAGATCTACCTCTCCCAACAGCCAAATGCTTCGTGCTCAGCCCAGCAGCAGCAGCCAAGATGCAAAGTTGCCTTTAATTTTTGTCCATGCAGAGAATTTTTCAGTATGAAGAGACTGACCTAGAGAAGGATCTGGGTTGTTAAGAGAGCACTATTAATTACCTACACTGTTTCAGTCACTTTGACTCAGGAGAGCATTCCAAGTGAAGATGGGAGTCACTGTAGTAATTAAATACCTTTGCTTAGCTGCTGCTCCTGTCTGAGTGTGTCTTGGGTGCTACAGCAGCAGGCCTGACCTCACTCTTCTGAAGGATTTCAACTGAATACGCTTCAGAGCAGGATATTGGCAGCATCTGCACAGCCATTACTCAAATCATCCCATCAAGGATTTATCTCCTCTTGCAGCTTATCTGGAGCCTTTACTAGAAAAGGATTAATTAAAATTAATTGAAGTTAGCAGCAGATTGCTGTCGTATTTTAGTAACAAGAATAAGCATGCACACCATCTCAATTCTGCAAGAGCACACTGAGCCAAGAGCTAACCAAGGTCATTTTATATTCCAACACCAAGGGATGCTGAAGGAGGGAGGGCCAAGTGCTCTACCCTGCATTACACAGCTAGTGTGGGCAGAATGGAAAGTGGAGTCCCATTCCTTATGCCCTGCATTAACCTTTGAGCCACTTCAGGGCAAGCAGACTCCCAATGCTTTGCTGCTGGAGTACCTTGGGGCACGAGAAGGCAGGACAAGAATTCACATTTGCTCCTGTCACTGCAGGCACTTCCTCCATTCTGTTCTGCAGTACTCACACTCTTTGAAGCTCGATCGATTTTCGCCGTACCCCAAGGCTGACATGAGCGTAACAATCACATTTCCCAGCACAATACACAACCCACAGTGCTATCAACCACAGTTTAAAGGCTTTCCTTCTCCACTTCAGGGCAAAACTTTATCAAGTGCTTTAATGTATCTACTAAGAAACAGAGTGCAAGTTATGCTAGTTACTACTTCTTTGGAGAACACACTGCTTTGGCTATAAAGGAGGAGCACTAGTCAGGTACTTCAAATGTCTGAAAGACAGTAAAATAAAAAGAACTAATTGGTAAGGAGAAAAAAAAAAGCAAGAACATCCATGATTTTATTACAAAAACACCCAGCAACTGTATTTAACACAAAAACAGTAACTGAGAGTCTCTTTTTATTTTTCTTTCAGTGTACATGCTCATTATTATTCCATTTAATTTACAGAAGGGCTATGTAAAATGAAATTAAAATTAGAGAGGAAACAAAAGGAAGGTTGAGGCATAGAATTTTCTTAGCAAGCAACGATCACAGGAGACAGCACAGATTGAACAGGGATTCAACAGGAGTGACACCTAGGGATAAAGGTAAACAGTAACTTTTTCCTTATCCATTAGATTCTCCATGGGGCTTTTTTGTTTGTTTTAGCAAAACAGTTTAGAGTATCACAGTATACAGGAAGACTAAATGGCAAAGAACATCTCACACACACACACACATTTATCCCTGCTACTGGTCCAGGATCCAAAACTTCAGTTAACATTCGATTTCCTATCTCTCATTCATTGATAAACTATACAGGATTACACTGTACATGGAGTTAAAATTACAAAAATGTCATATTTACAAAATCTGTACACACATAGTAAAACTCACAAAATTGTCATCTATGTATCACAAGTTGCGACACCAAAATATTAAAAATGGGATAAAATTATACATTTCTCTTGTCCATTTTTAAAAAGGGTTCATTATTTCAAAGACAGACCACCTATTTCCCCCAAATAAGACTGGTAAGAGAACTAGAAACCTAAAGTATCCTCCTGGGATAAAATGTCGCGAGCAGCATCTCCCAACTAGAAAGAAGCCTATATCCTGTCTGCTGGGGTGGGGTGTGCAGTTAGCATCTATGTACAGAAATGGTGAAACTACAACGAGGATGTCTTTGGCTAAACCTTTGGCATAAATTAAAATCATACATCAAAAGTTACAGAAAAAGGTTTTCCTGGTGATGGCAGAGGTCGGGAATTTCGTTCTGAAATACCATTATATACAGCTTTTCTTTCTCTAAGGAAATAGAGGAAGAAGAAAGGATTTTGGAACAGAGGCAAATGAGGCAATATTATTTCTTCGTTAAGTTTTTCACTAGTATGAAAAAATTGTATCAAATCTTTTCACTAAAACATAATTCGATCAGAGAAATAACCTCTTCCAGAATTTTTTTTTTTGCTTTGAAACTGCATATGAAAAAAAAAATTAGTAAACCAGCCATGACAGAAAAAAAATTGTATCAGCATATCAAGTACATATTAGTGCAGGAAGGTGGATAAATTTGATCCACTGTATAAATAAGCTTTATGCGCAGTGTACATTAAATAACCATCACACCCCACTCACACCCAGTACACAGATGCTCCTCAGTGAAGATAAACGTTTATCAAGTAATTAAAGTGTATGTAGTGCAAATGTTACAACCAAGTATTATGCACATGCTACTTGCTTGGTTTAAAGTTACATAAAGATGTGGTGCCTGAAATCATGGACATATATACATCCTTGTCACACTTGGTACAATGTCCTAAGCCACAGAAATACCGATGTGTTTATATCTATATATATATACACACACGTTTTTCTTAAAATGTGACCACCACATCAATACAGTAACACAAACAGACTAAAATCAATACCTGCTTCCAGATGCTCCAAGGCTCAGAAAGTTTGTGCTTCTAACTCTTGCAGTCATTACGTGCCCCTCTTCCATTTCCCCCTTCTACCAGCGGAGAAGGAGGGACAGTCTCTTCAGGTCTGTGCTGCATAGGATGAGGGCAACGGAGAGGAATAAATGACGGCACAGGCACCTAAGCTGCTTTCCTCCATCAACAGTTCCATGCCCCATGATGAAGGGTTGAGAGAATTTCCTCTCCACACCGCTCCTGGGTGGAAAGGCTTATTGAAAAAAAAATAAATCATAACGTGCTTTCCATATTATAAGTGGCAGCAAATCAAGGCACGCTGTACTAATTCTGTAGCATTGAGATTAGCTGACTTTGCAGGGGATGCTCACTGGGGAAGGTCCGACGTTCTCAACTGGCTGCTGGGCCGCGTTGGGCCATACAGAGTAACAGAAGCTATGTGATTATTCTGCATCACCTGCAAAAACACAGCAGAAGAAAGGGAAATTAAAAGAACTGGAACACTAAACAAACTTAGAAGCGTGAAAATGGTGAGTATGGAACTGATCTGGCTGAAAAAAAGAAATCTCAACAACAGAAGACAGCAACATTTGTTGCTAGAGCCTAAGAATGGTCTCTAGATTTCCATGACATCTAAACATCAGCATGCTCCACCACTCCTCAGAATTACATACATGGCTCTCCTGCCAGCATGAGTTCTGGGGGACAAACTTGAAGTGCCAGCTTTAACATGCAGATGTACAAGCTCAAAGAAGAGGTGGGAAAGTTGCCTCTTTGTGTCAACAGGCTCTAAAAATATAGCCACTCCCAACTGCTGACTTTTATGGCAATGGGACGTAAGAAGCCAATCAGAATAACAGAAAAGTCCTTATCTTCTCGTGCTCAAACAAATATGAAAGTTTTGCTCCTAACCTCAAAGATCATTCGCTGCAGTCCAAAGCAAAAGGTTGACCCAAATGGGTTAGTGTTGTTCGGAGATGATGACCTGAACAGAAAAGAGGGGGGAAAAAAATTACAAAACGGATGTTAAGGATCATGAACTTCATAGGGAAGAGTAACTACTCAGTAATATAAGGGAAATTACAGCATCTTTACCATGGCTTTCACCAAAAGAAAGCAAATCTACATTATGCAATATCACTGCTAGACCCCTCTGGCTGATGTCACAAAGCTGTTATTAATACTTGGGGAGAAAGTAATCAAAAAGCTACTAGTGACCTCTACAGGAAGACTCTCTTTCACTTTTCTTGAACAGGAAGAACTCTAAATAGAAACAGACACACAGGAAGAGAAGCATCATCTAACTTACTACACATCATTTTTGTGCAAGATGCCTCAGCCTCTATCATATGCATTTACTACATACTGTCTACTATATATATTTACTATGTAGTCACTAATCCACTGGTTTGAGCATGTTAAGAAGATTACCCAGTTAAGATGCTGAAATAGAACGGTGCAAGTTTAATAAATCAGTATTTCTCAAGATCTATGTGTCACCTGTTTTTTAGTTATTTCTGATTTTTTTTGATCAAAAATTGACAATGGTAGAATCCTGCTGACATGAATTTTAGATCACAGCCGAAAAAAAAACCCTAGAAAATATTTACCTTTTGGCTTTTCTTGAAAACTGGTCAGTTTTTCAAACTGCATGCCTGAGCCATTTAAGATGTGCTCAGTAAAGTGCTCTCTGGTTGAACTACTGTCTATAACACAGATGAAAAAAATAGAAGGGCTCTATGTCATCACTGTTTCACCTCAGTCTTACTTCAGATGGCTTCTGCTCTAATCATCTCACTAGCATAAAACAAGAGCAAAGGGGAACAAAGGCCACGATGATTGAGGGGGAAGAAAAAAAAAAAAAAGAAAAAAAAAATCGAAGCCAAAATCATGTGAAAGTCTGATGAAAATACATTGTTTGGTATATCTGAAATTGCTGCAGTATTGTCACAGCACTCATCACTGACACTTGCCCTGAGATAAATCATAGTTTCATATCATAAACTGGTAACTCTGCAAACAGATAATGCCTATTTAACCCAACCAGCTCAATTCCTGCAGAAACACAGCAAATTTAAGGGCTATTCTATCCTCAGTCAGCCTAGAAGAGCTGCACAACAACAATGCAGGCTCACAAAAGTGAAGCTTCTTCAGACAGACTGCTATCATATATACTACCATATCTCCTGTGCTGTATAATGTCATATTGTTGAAATGTATATAAAAAGTATTAAAACTCTATTTGTTACTCAGACTTTTTATATGCTGCTTAGCCCTTCTCTAGATTTTGCAGTTCATGGAATTTTGGAAATGCTTTCATTCAGCATGTCAGTTATTTCCTCTGAAAGCAACCATCCAGTCATGTCAGTGGCCAAATGAGCCTGAAACATTAACCAGCAAAGCAGTGCAAAAGTAACTAGTGCAATAAACACTCTTCCTCATCCTCTGCTATCAGCTCAACCCATGCCAAGCAAAATAGAGAGAGATTTTTACCTGTGAAGTACCACTGGCTTCTCTACAGGGTGCCCCAGTAGATCCTGAATACTGTCCCACTGCAAATACATCAAAGACTTTGTGTTAAAATGAGGCACAGGAAAATTCTTCTCCTTATCCAGTAAGAACATCATGTACATTTTTGTTTGTGACATGCTGTTTGCCAAATAACCTTGAGGTTGTGACTGGAGCCATACTCAGGAATGGAACTATCCATTACTAGGGCTAGCAAATTCTCTCGGGATGCATTCTCATTTTTGTCTATAAATAGCTTGGAATTAGAATTATTTACATAAAAAATTCTATGGGTCTTATGGGTAAAATGTAGCTGGAAAGTCTTGTAGCATTTCAGGGGAACCTCAGAGAACAAAGCAGCTGTGGGAAGCCTCAACCGAGTATCCTCTTACATACCTCTGCAGGCGAAAAAATAGCATCACTGCTACCTCTCCCAGAAGTCTTTCCTTGATTTAAGCAGCAAGATTGAAGAAGAGGAAAGCTGTACTACTTAATAACTGGGAATGTCCAACAGTTTTCCTCACTCTAACCAGACTCTAAGAAGCTGCAGTTTCACACACAAAACTGAAATAAGTCAAAGCACTGAAGGGTGTAAGTAATTCAAATCCAAAAGCATAGAACAGCAACTTCTGTTGCTGACTGCAATTTTTCTTCCCAGTATGGGACACAAAAATTCACGAAGGAAAGCCTTCATTTGGCACCCCAAGAGCCATGAGAGCAGCACTGACCCTGCCTGAATGTTAACTGAAGAGACACTGCTGAACAGAGTTTTGGAGATGTTTTTCAATTTAATGTAGCTCTCAGACATGCAGCAGCAACTGCCCAGTTGGGAATTTCAGTTAGGTGGTAAGGCTCCACAGTCTGCAAGGAGTCATCAGGAGGCATCACACTGGCAGTGACGTTTTTGTAAGGCCTGCTGCTGCCTGAGAAACATCTCATTACTGGCACCCTTCTGAAGAAAGTGGAAAGGCACTGGACTCTCTTATTAAAGACATGTCCTCAAGAGCTATATTAAAGGAAAAAAGTGAAAGTTTTGTTTAGAAACATTTCTTTTAGCTAACATTCAGCCACCACTGCTGTTGCTTTCCCATATCATTTCTTTTATTGTTCTGTTTCTACCTGCAGCTATGTTAAAACACAAGCCATGCCATAACACAGTAATTGAGTTTACTCCAAGTGTGCTCTTACAAATGCCTTCAGTCATTAACACACTGACAGTTTAAACCACACAACATGCACTACCTTTTGGCCTCCAGCACAGACCATTGAGATGGTTTAAGAAGAGAAGGAAAACACTCTGTCCTGCACAGACTTACCTTGCTGTATGTTGTACATGTTTCCGTCTGTGAATCAGCACTATCTGTAAAAGAAAAAGAGAAAAGTCTTTATAGCTTGTGCTTCAACAGTTCCCTCTGAAATGTTAGTTCAGATAGCAAGAGATATATGAGCATTGGATCAGTTCATATACAAATTTACCAGCATTTACTAGCAACCAGAATTGTCAGTAACACTGGTTAAATGCCAGGTAAGGTGATTAAACAAACCTGTCTATCTTCCCAGTTCTAGGATTATATAGTTTAAGCTGCAATCTGACATGGAAGAAGATCACTGTAAAAGAAACTACATCTCTTTGCACTAAGTTAACAGGCCTAGCACAGCTACTTCTTGAGATAACATGATGTGCCACTCATTAAGTCCAAAACACACCACTGCACTTGGAAAGGCAGCTGGCCAAAGCTGACAGCTTGAGACTCAGGAGCTGGCAGGCCTGAAAGCAGCTAAAACACTGCACTTTCAAAACAAAGATGGCAGGTGACTTGGGAATTGCCGTCTGCCTGTCAAATAGTACAAAAAGCTGCAGGTAAGGACAGCATTGCATTCACACTTACAGCCTTAAAAAGAACCTGTTTGCTGGTGGTTTCAAGCACTTTCAGACACTCATGTGGGGACTCCCAAATACTGAAAGCACATTGCCGAAGCAGTGGGAATGGACTTAGACATGAAACCAGTCAAACATAGCTTTCAATCAAATTAAAGACCATTTGCTCCTCTGTATTTTCCAGCTGCTAAATAAACATGCTGTCTCTGTGCTGAGAGTTCAGTGCCTGTGTAGCCTGAACTCTGGCTCTCAATTCATTCTCTGAAGTTGAACTACAAACGGGAGCTAATAAAACTGCATCAGGCACTGCCACCAGAGGGAAGAAGATGAACTCTTCATAAATGTTATAACATCTGTTTACAACTTGTTACATGTCCCGAACATAAGCTAGAGACCAGAAAGGCAAGTTAAAAACGCCAAACAAACAAAACCCAGACACATTGAGAAGAAATTCATGCTGCTTGAGGTGAATACAATCAATCAGAAATGAATGCCTTTGAAATACTGCACAGTAACCTAAGGGAAAATAATTTTATAAGTGAGAACTTTTATGCTTATTCTCTTGGCTGAAGTACAAATCAACGTTCGTATAAACTTGTATACAGAGACATTGTTTTTCCAGGCTTTTATGCCTCCATATGCTCAAACTGCTGTGACAGCCACAGGAGAACTGCACTTCACACAGCAAAGTGCTTTCTTTGAACACCAAACTGTTGGAGAATGGCTAACAGAACAAGGACACACTTCCATGGAGGTGCTGTGTCAGCAAGGAGACTCCTACCAGCCCGAGCAAGAGTCGAGCAAAGGTCTATGAGAGCTTTGAGCATATAACTAAGAAGTAGGCCTCAGGAACTTAGCTTCTCAGCATTAGAAGTTATTTTCTCAGCATAATGTTGCAACCAAAGGACAAGCTATCTGGGAAAGCTCAGCAATGCTACAAGCCCAAGGATGAACTATCCCGGGAAAACAAAGAAGGATTCCCCAGAGAATAAAGAAGACTTCTTCACAGCTGCAAGCAGAAATAATATATAAATGCAACCTTTAGAGCTTAGGTAATGCTAAAGTGAATAATAGGCATAGTTGTCCTGCAAGCTAAGAAAGTATACAAATGTAACTTTTAGGGTTTAGGTAATAGTTGTGTAAAGGTAAAGAGAACAATAAGCATAGTTATTCAGGCACTGTATAAGAGAAGGACTGAGCTAACAATAAAGTTTGAAGGCTTTTGCAGAACCTCATATTGAGTGTTTTGTGTCTTCCCTGCTCGTGAGCTCTCCGCACCAAACAGATCGAAGAAAGTAGCCAGCAGCTGATATTCCCAGGATAATCAAACTACACACCCTCCCAGTATGTGTTTATCCTTACATTAGTCTACTTCAATGTCTATGATCTTCACTCAAACAAGATTCCTCCACTTTGTTGAGATTAGTTACATGCACAGAGCTGGGGACAGCTTAGTTCCTTGCCAGATCAGCACTACTGCTTATATGCATATCTTTCCAAGTAGAGATTTTCAGGAGAACACAAACAGCCTATAGTACACAGAGCCAACACATTCCAGATGTTTGTTCTCATTCCCAGCTAAACCAGTTCAGGTTAAATATCATGGACAAGCATTTCAAGACCAAGCCAAACATGAGCTCAGTGGACTGGACAGATGAGCTCAGACTAATACTGCCTTACAGATTTTGAGCCTCCAGGTACAAGGTAATTGATTTTAGGAGAGTGGCAGCATCACAGAAAACTAGTGATGTTGCAGCTAAATATTTGTGTGATACAAATAAGTAAACAAGACAGTGTATGTAAAATCAGAGAACTACTAACTTGCCCTGAAGTATCTTTTCCACTTAAATATAAACCTAACTCCCAATTTTCTCTCGTCTCAATGACTTTCACTGTTAGCATCCTGTGATAATGAAGGACATATTAGAAACAAAAACTGACCATACCTCCCCTTTGAGTATTTTGTGGTATGCACCCCCAAAGCAGGAGAACAGGTGAACTACTCACCTCGCTTAATGACTAGTGGAATCTTGAACTCACAGCGATGGTAACTAGAAAGTGCAAATCGTAAAGCTATTAGAAAACAGAAAAGCCAATATAAACTGCATAGCCACAGACTTATGGCTCTTAATAATCAGTGCAATGAAAAGTCACATGGATAATAAAATGAAACTGAGAATGTATGATAACCGATTAAGTTTTCATTTAGATTTTCTACATCAAAAGAGGCAGCAGCCTGGGAATGTCCTAACACAATTTTCTAGAGGACATGAGAATTCCTTCAGCACAAATTACTCTGCTGTTACACAGAGTGGATGGAGAAATATTTTGCTTAGAAACAGTACTACCCTCTGTTACTAACACTACCTACTTTAATCAGACATCCAATCACTTCATCTTTATCTCATATTCCTCCTCTAAAAAGTTTCCATTTAAAAGGTATTGAAAGGTTCAGAAGGCTAAGAAAAAAAATTTTTAAAGTCAATAAGTGAAATATGTTCAGAGAGAAAAACAGCAACCTACCTACCAGTAAATGGACACTCTTGCCAATACAAAGTTTGCCTCTAGCAAGAGTCTGCACATTAGAACTGGACCAAGAACTACCTTACCTCATTCACTGCTTTAAAATGTACTTGACAATATAAAGACATTTAAAAATAAAAAAATGCTAATACAAAAAGTCCTAATAATGGTGGCTGAAACTTCCAAAGGTTACTAGATACACCCAAGGCACTTAGAAAAAAATACTGGAATTCTATAAAGGGAACATAAGATTTCCTTTTCAGCTGTTTTAATGCACTCTTAAAGAGATCAGTTCCTTACACTCACATGTTAAAGTTGTAATGACCAGGATAATTTGTATGCAGGACAAATTTCTTCACCTTGTGAGTGTTTGCATCAAAGAGAATATCCTGTTGAAGAGAAAAAAAAAAACAAAACCCCAAACAACAGAGATGAAGCAATTTGGGTAGAGGAAGGTGGCTTTCCCCAAACTAACCTGAGATTAGACACTGTTGTATCTGTATAGAGTGATAGATATCTATCTCTTTGGAACTGAATGGAACCATAACAAGTAGTATTGGTAAATTCAAATAAACACATTTCCTCCAGCACTCAATCACAACTGCAGTTTCATTTACTCACTTTAGCAAAACTTCTAAGGAGGTCTTGTTTTTCTCCATATTATTTACAGTAACATAGACCAAAACAAAACAGTCGTAAGGAGGAACATAAAGACTGAACTACTGATGGAGATAAAACGTTACTGATCAAATTTGCAAGTGCCAGAGAAAAGTCAGTGCAGCTTTTCATACCCAGAGATTCCTAAGGCAGCAATCAAGAGCTTTGCAGTCTCATTTCCCCACAGCCTTTAGCCTCCTGAAAGGATTTAACTAAGGATGTAACTAAACCAGAACTTTACATCAATTGTTTAGAGAAGTTTTCCACTCACCACTCCAAGTGTGAAATAATTGAAGAAGTAGTCATTGCACTTTGATGGGACCTGCTTATGGGGCGAGGGCGAGTGGATTTTCATCTGCAAGAAACACACTTCAGATGTATTTAACAACACTCAAAGATGAAGGCTATTAACAACATCACTCCACTCAAATTGCCATAATCTCAATCTCATTTGAAGCCCTTGTTTGAACACATAAGATACTGTGCTTCATGACAGGACCACCACCTGCTTGCACTGGCACAGTGACACAATCAGTTATCTGAGTTAAAAGGTTTACTGACTGCTGTGTAAAAACATTAGCAAAGGATCAAAGTATATGTGAAAGTTATTTTACATAAACTATAATTGAAAAAGAATAGGCAGCACACACTTGCCAAGGCTCAGTGAGTTTCAGAACTGCTCCTATTTGTAACAATTTTTAAAGCAGTTAAAATCATGCAATTTGGTATTTTAAGAAAAGAAATTAACAGATTTGCATTGAGTTAGCTGAAAAAATATTTTTTAAAGCCTATTATATAATGGTTCATCCTGGTCTGCTATGAGGTTTAACAAGGCCAAGTGTCAG